GCTCTTGTAGAATTAAGGTTTAGGTTGAGTGGTCTTCAAATAAAGTTGGTACATTTTTGTTTCTTGAAACAAAATGATTGTTAACTGAAATTAAAAATATATATATTTAAAACCTTTTATTTCAGCTATGGCTGGCAAGGCAACATTTTTTTTTTCCATTTATAACTAAAATGAAATAAAAAGTAATACATACAATCAATACAATGTATATATATATTTTTAACTATAAAAAAGAATAATAAAATTACAAAAACATAACTACAAATTAAGTGAAAACCAAAATATTAAAATAAAATTTCTAATTCAATATATTAACAAGAACTATGATAGCATATCAGTGAAATAGTGGGTTGTGTTTTTTTTTTACAAATAAATTTGCAATTAGCATTTGCTCATATCTGGAAATTCTTCAACATTCTTGTTCATTTTCAATAAATTACAAAAGACTATGCTATAGTCTATAGGCCATTGTTAGACACAAAGTTAAGTTCTGAACATTTTTACTTTTTACAATATTGCATGTCCTGCATTGCAAGCACCTTATTACTTGTTTGAAGAACATTAAAGACACTAATTCTCCAGGAAATAACTGAACTGATAACAGTTTCATATAAATTACTTTTTTTTTTTTAAGAAAACATAAGCCCCTAACCCTATACATAAAATAGTTACTCATTTCCACAAGAGTGTGTTGGGTTAATAGTTTCCATTGTGGGTGTTCTGCAACAATACACAGAGTAGCTGGTGAAGAGACGTTTCACATCATAACTGCTTCTGCATTTTAGCACACTGACCAATGAGCATCCATATCATAGCATACATACAGAGACAGAAAGTCCTAGCATTAACGTCACCCAGCTTCATTTCAACCTCAGCAGGGACAGCTGATGAAATTTATCTCTGTAGCTAATTCTGGGGCAGTCCTTAACTGTCCATTGTCCCTGTTAAATAAAACATTCAAATACATAATATAAAATAGATACAATTACATCCACACAGGGACAATCTGAATAAATAACATAAAAGTAAACCTGTTTTCTACTACACCCAAACTGGCCTGCACCTCAAGCTCCCTCTCCATCCCAATAAGCCCAGACTGCAGTCTCACTGTTACAACTCCACTACACTACATGAACAAGTATGTGAACACGCCTTTCTATTTAATAGGTTTGGCTATATTTTATTATTAACAGGTGCATAAAATCAGGCATGTACTTCGAAGACAAATATTTACAGTAAAGGATACAGAAAATCATTATTTTAAAATTCATAATCTCATATAGTTGCATGTAGCAGATTGGAGCTGGGTGATGATATAGTTTACATTTTGTGACAAAACAAGCAATCAAGTATTAGAGTCATGCTAGTACCTATTGCTTTATGTGAGTGTACTGCATACGTGAACAATATTATATATACAACTTTTTATACAGAGACACAGCTTACATAATACAGTATAGTGTATACAAAAGATCCCATAACTTCCATCATGGATTCATAATGTGTATGGTTGTGAAATTAGCAATGGGACTGAAGGTTGGATGTTTTATAAACTTATTTACGCGCATCCCCCAGAACACATAACGTGTAAAAATGTGAACAGTCAGAAAACACATTCACTCATTTGTGACTAAAACTGTGCTAAGTGGTTTCATTTGGCAAATCATAATCAATTATGTTTTCGGCAAATTATGTGAATGAGTGGTCCCTCTGGGTTGCCATCTCATCTTGTTGAACTCAATTAGCAGTAATTAACACGTGCTAATGAGATGAAGTGGAATCCAAAACAAACAGTGGGAGCTCAGCCTCATATCTAACAGCAACAGAGACTGAATGGTTCACCATGACAGTCTCTGCAGACAAGACTAGGACTCAAACAATATCAGTCATGCAGGATTGTAAAGAAATCTGACTCATGCAAATCTTTCAATCCAAGCTGAAGCTATGGCAAATAAACAAGATGTGTAAGCACTCCTGCTTTTTATTTATTTGGTTGTTTTGAGGGTGGCTCTGCAACTCACCATGTCTTTACAACCATTCAAGCACAAAAGACATTCAGTTTTACTATCAGTTGTATGCTTCAAGCTGAGTGCACAGGCTGACCACAATTCTTGAGTATTGACTATAACTTTCATCTGCTTGACATATATTCCAGGCATAAAATTGCAGGTCGGACACTGGTGAGATATCACTTTCCCGGTGAGAATAAAGGCACGTCCTCTTTCACATTTATATGCTATAAAATAAAGTCTGTACTTCAGTGGCTCTATGTCTACAGTGCATCTTTGTCTCTGGCTTGCACAACAAAAAGCGAAACTGTCCTGTAACAGGACATGTATCTCCTGCAGTACTCTCAGAATATTTTATTGAATAATAATAAAGATTTGTAGTGGTTATGTGCTAGTCCCATGGTTCATCAACTTTTTTTTTTTTGCATCACCTTCTTTATTGGCCTCTATGGTTCCATGAAGAACCTGAAACATCCATGGAAACTTTCCATTGCACAAAGGCTCTTTACATTGGAAAAACGGTCTTTAGATGATTAAAATGTTCTTCAAAAAAATAGTTATTTTAAGAACTGTTTGCTAAAAGCTTCTTAGTGAAACCCAAAATGGTTTTTAATAGTTATTTTTAAGATGTCAAGTTCTTATATTAACTTTATGGTCCTTTTTGTTGGTCCAATCAGTGACCAATGATATTAACTGTTCAATATCCAACCATTTTAGTGCTTTACATTATTAAAAATAAAGGTTCTTTATTGGCATCAATGGTTCCACAAAGAACCTTTACCTTCCATGGAACCCTTAATTCCACAAAAGGTTCTTTACAGTGGAAAAAGGGTTCTTTAGATTATTAAAATGTTCTTTACACTAGAAAAAAATATATATTTTAAGAACTGTTCACTGAAAGGTTCTTTGGGGAACCAAAACTGCATGGTTCTTCTATTGCATCGCTGTGAAACCCCCCTTTTGGAAACTTTATTTTTAAGAGTGTAATGCTGAAATAATTGTTTTCCAAGAATAGAAACGCGCAAACCCATTGGAGCCTTTATTTTTTTTATGGATGGTAGTGTTTCGATAGATTTAGAGGTTAACCTTAAATCTGTCACGTTTTGAATGATTATGTTTTTGTTTGTTTTTCTGTAAGATTGGCTATCGCAAAAACCACGCACATTTGATTAAACAGTAAATGCGTAAGAACACATTCTCTCACTGCATCGTTGAGGATCGAATCCCACGGCTAATGATATCTGTAGCATACAGGCATGAGGCTTGTTCGCTGTCTGCTGTATCTCTCGCTGCAGCTCCTCTGATGGCTCCCCGCGCGCTGATAATATCTCCCAGCAGCCGGAGACTTTATATTATAATCATTAGTGATCCTTGCCCTCTCACCCGTACTGAAGAACAATCGTAGAGGAACATTAATCTGAGCTGGAAACGGCCGTGTCCCTCTTTTCCCACACGGCTGTCCAGGTCGTGTTTTTTTTCTAACTGTGCATAATTTCTGGATCACTGTGGCTGAATTCACACCCCCGCTTAACTAAAATATTTCAAACAGCCTCGATTTCATTAATGACCCTGTGTTAATAAGATTTAGTCTACTGGATGTAGCTGACAAATCGAAATGACAGTGACTGTTCAATAGCCTATATAGCACACACTCTAAACTTTATACATACAACTTTGGGTCAAATATGGACTAACCCAACTTTTGGGTAAAAAATGTAAGGTAAAAAAAACGGTTGTGTTAGTCCGTATGTGACCCAGAGTTGGGTTGAAACAACCCAGCATTTTTTAGAGCGTATGATATAGCCTATTAACCTATAGACAAAATGTATAATAGCCTATATAAATATATTTGATGTAGTTAGAATAATTTTGCCAAACAATATAACCGCAATAGGCCTAAGTGAACCTAATGTAAAAGCATATTTTCTTTTCTTTCCTCTTTATTTTATTTTGCATTAATAATAATACAAATATAACAAATAACATGCACTATTCAATTGTGCTTCCAATGGCCGTAGGTTTGCTTAGAATTTGTAAACAAGCTTCAATAATCAGAGAATTAGCTATAGTGATTTACAAGCTCATTGAAAAAAATTAGGCTAAGTACGTCGCCAAGAACAAATCAAATTTGCATTACTCATATCCAAGTCTTGCATTCCGTCAGATTGTCTTACGTGTCATAAGTAGAACTAATTATGAATTATTATTTCTAAAAACAATGAACTAATTTACCAATAACGAAAAACAGGCACATTACTATGCATTCAAATTCCTCCGCGGTCAAAATATAGTTTTATACATTCTCCTCCACTCCATTTGGAAATGTAATTAGTCAACATTCAAGTTTGCTTTGAAAAGACTTAACGTGTTGTTTCTAGATGGACTGTAGGCAGCAGAAATTGCAGGGGAAAGTGCGTTCACCTAAATTACTGTCATCTGATTGGTTCTGTTCCAACATGACGTCACATCGCAGGGAATAAGGTCTCGCGGCAGCATCCAAAACGCATGCCAGCGACTGAAGCAAAGCGAGATGCAACTGGAAAATACATACTAATGACCAGGGATATGTGTGATATGCTTTGAAATAGTTGATTTTAACTTTTTGTAAAACGAATTAAACGCATTTTTGTTTCCAAGCGTTGGGAGCATTGGAGATTGCGCGCGCATGTATCGATTTAAATAGCTTGTACAATAAGTAACCATTCCATGAGATTGAACTAACACTTCCGCTAAAGTTTGTTTTTATTCATCTTAATGATAAAGCATCAACGTATGTTTAATCGTCTGAAGAGGAGCTGACAATTGTCCGTTTCTGCGCTGTAGGCAAAATTTGGGATGCTGTATTAGGCTATATCCAATGCTGCCTGCCCTTTTGATGACTTTTGTTTACTTGGATCAAGGACCGCGTAGTGTTCTCTAACTTTTGGCACAAGACAAGCAGATTTTTGCCTCTCACCAAGAACAGCAACGTGGTGACTGGAGTCACAAAATATGGTCCACTGTGCTGGATGCGAGAGGCCTATTCTGGACAGATTTCTGCTCAGCGTCTTGGATAGAGCCTGGCATGCCAAATGCGTGCAATGTTGTGACTGTAAATGCAGTTTAACTGATAGATGCTTTTCAAGAGAAGGACGACTCTACTGCAAAAACGACTTTTTCAGGTGAGCATTTGAATCGAAGAAAGCATCAGAGGACATGTTTAGCTCTTGCAATGCGGCTATACGGACCTTTCTGTATTAAAAGAGTCTTGAACTAGATTTTCCCCCATTCTATATGCTATGCATGTAAAATAATAATAGTAATAAAAATGAATTCGTTAAAAACACATTTATGTAAACCCTATATAAACACAGCATAGCTATAATAATAAATGCACACAAAAAACCGAAACAACTGGAGCGCATTACATTTTACATTTACAACCTCCCGAATTCTAGACAAGTTGTTAGGTGACAGACTAAAACAGTTCTCTTTGTTTACAAGGTATGAGTGTCAGACAGGCAGGGGATGAGATTTGCACCAGCACCTGACGGATGTGTGCCCTAGCCTCGCCTCAATCTTTCTTAGCACATGCGTTTGTTTGCAAAAGCTCGAGCAAAGATGCGATAAGTGGATTTGAATAATGAATGAGCTCGAGAGGAAAGCCACAGACATCCAGTCAGCACGCATTTGATAACCATTTCAGTGAACTGCATTTACATGCACGCCCAGAGACAAAAGAATGTATATTGTCGCTTGCGAAGTTTGCAAGAGGATATTCTGTTAATGCATTCTGTCAAAACAATGCTGAACATATCAGCAACTCTGAAAGAATAGAATAATTCTGTAGTGCATGCATCTTCATGGGTGGAAAAAGCATGATTATAAAATGTTAGCAAATTGAACAGAAAAAGTCAAACAAACAAAGTGCATGTTAATTGTTTAATTTAAATGACCAGGGTAAATAATGATATTATAAAGAACACTGTGCAATTTGTCTGTAAAATATTGTAAAATGTTTTAGATGTAAAAGTATGAACCATTTTAAAAATGACAAAGATGATTCGTTAGGCAAACGTCACAATACAGCAAAACATTGATAAAATCCTTATGGTTTACAGGTCGTTCCCAGAATTCCCTGCACGAACCATCACATTTGTATCTTAACAAACAGTATCTTCTTATTTTTGTTATCTGTTTTATGCATTGGAATGTTTTACATTGCATGTTGCTTAGTTAATTTTTGTTGCAATATTTCAGTTTTGTGTGTTACCCTGGTGCTTTTCTCTTATATTATTGTGCTCTTTATTATTTACCAGTTGTTGGAGAGGTAAAATTTTGATAAAGGTTTTCAGCTGCACCACTGTGTTGTTATCAGTTAATTTGACAGTATATGCAGCATAAAGATTTTAATAGGTTAATACATGAATATTATATAGCCTAGGACATGTAAAGTTACCGTCACAGTATTTTAATGACAAGGTTCTGGCAGCCACAACTGACAGTTGTTGTTTTTGTTTTTACTGTAAATTGATGTTTAGACCTGTAGCTATGCATAAAACATGCTTACTGTTTAATTAAGATAGAGATTAACAAAATAACTATTGGTACACCTACTTTTCGTGAAAAGACTATAACAAAAAACTATAACATTTAGGTGTCTGTTTGACTTTGTTTTAATTCTCTGCAGACGTTATGGCACTAAATGTGGAGGCTGCGCGCAGGGAATCTCGCCCAGTGATCTAGTTCGGAAAGCGCGAAGCAAAGTCTTTCACCTGAACTGTTTCACCTGCGTCATGTGCAATAAACAGCTTTCCACTGGCGAAGAACTGTACATTCTGGATGAATATAAATTTGTCTGCAAGGAGGATTACATGAATAACAGCATCGGAAAAGACACAACCCTTCTGTCAAGTGAGTCATTTTGGGGATTTGAAGCCCTGTAGTCTACGAGATAAATATTGCTATTTTTCTCAAGTTCTACTGATTATGTAGGCTATGTAATTTTTTACAATGCTAGACTCTATTGTTATTTCAGTATCTGATTACGTGTTGTCTTCGAATGTGTGGCACAAAGCGTTTTGACAGCTTTTTTAACGGCTGTGCTTTTAACAGTTACTACGTGCAGTGACCCGAGCTTATCTCCAGAATCTCAAGATCCACAGGACGACTATAAAGACTCTGAGACTGGACAGATGTCGGACAAGGAGGTCTGCAACAATGAAAACGACGAGCAGAATCTGGGTGGCAAACGTCGCGGGCCGCGGACTACTATCAAAGCCAAGCAGCTGGAGACTCTGAAAGATGCTTTCGCCGCCACCCCAAAACCTACCAGACACATACGAGAGCAGCTGGCACAAGAGACAGGCCTCACTATGAGAGTAATTCAGGCAAGAAGCTAACAAAAAAAATTAAAAAGAAAGAAAAGGAAAAGTAGGCCTAAATAGTAGGCCTAGGCGGCCTAATTGCGCTTAGCTTGGTGCTTAACACTCCCGTGATCAAATAATATTATATCGGCTTTAATATGTGTAACCGATATATGTCTATTTTATAGCTACTTGAATAAAACCAGTTCATTTATTTAGTTAACACATGATTTGCTTTGGCAAAACATTTGACGTGCGGCCGTGTTGCCAATAGTTTTTATTAAACCGCGGCCACAACAATATTAGCCTATAAAACACCCATTTTCGAAAAACATAAATAATAAATAAATAATAAGTCAAATAAACGGTTGTCTCTTCAAGTAGGCTACAGGCTACCTTAAACTGTAGCCTACGCATTGCATTTCAGCATCTTGTGTGTGGACACAGGTGTTTGTTGGCTATTTGGCCTTCGTCCGCGGCTCGTCCAATCAGATTTTATAGCCGGAACTATTCGTTTAATATGAAATAAATGAACAAATTTGGAAAAACTTACAACAAGTAGCCTACATTAATTTTTATTAAACCGCGGCCACAACAATATTAGCCTATAAAACACCCATTTTCGAAAAACAGATGCTTAAAAATAACATTGCATTTCAGCATCTTGTGTGTGGACACAGGTGTTTGTTGGCTATTTGGCCTTCGTCCGCGGCTCGTCCAATCAGATTTTATAGCCGGAACTATTCGTTTAATATGAAATAAATGAACAAATTTGGAAAAACTTACAACAAGTAGCCTACATTAAATACCCAGTTATAATGACTGCAATGACAATACATTTAAAGTTGTGTATAATTAGGCCTATCCACTAGATGGGATAATATGATGCAAATAGCCTGCAATTGTCCGACGTCTTGCAAAAAGTCCAGATAACATAATATACCATAGCCTACTGTTGGTTTGTCTTTCGGCAGTAACACCTAACGAATGGGGTTTTAAGTACTATTAAACATGGAAAGAATTATGTGGCACATAATAGCCTATGACAAGTGATTTGGGCATGAACACCAAATAGCCTAGGCTACTCCTTTTTTCGCATTTTTATTTTGACTTATTGTTTGATGGATTATAGCCATATACGTGCATATCTAAATGCCCGCCTTAAAACTAAACGTGTGATTCTTTTTTTTTTGCTTAGATCTTAGGTTTCCCACGTACTGTCAAACGGCAACGTTGTTCTAAATGATCGTTTGGGGGTATAGGCCTATATTAATCTGTGAACTAATGTCCTGTCTCGTTTGTGTATTTTCTGTCGTGCAGGTGTGGTTTCAGAATCGGCGCTCTAAAGAGAGGCGCATGAAGCAGCTGAGCGCGCTGGGCTCCAGAAGACACATGTTCTTCCGCAGTTCGCGGAGAATGAGAGCGCTGGGCGAGCGCATGGAACCAGGAGAGCTCATGGCCAACGGCCATTTCTCTTATTATGGAGGTTAGTTCATGTTCATGAATATTAATTAGAAAATTAGAATAAATATTAGAAAATTAGAAAATGCATCACAGCCGAATGGTATATAACAAATTATATAATTATTGTGTCCATGCTTTGATACCATACATAGTCCACGTTAAAATAAACGAGAAAGAATTTAAGACTGATAATTTATATATGCAATCAAAATGTATTATATACTGTATATATGATCATCCTCATCTTTATTTAAAACAATTTATTGCACAATTGACCTTTCCATGTTTACAAAAAGCAAAATAACTAAATAAAAAATAAATAAATGAATACAAGCTTATATGTGTTGCACAATACAAAATAAAATAACAACTTATTTTAAAAATTATATTTAAGGTTGATTTTTTTATTAATAGAAATAATCAAATACACAAAAAATATTGATCACTCCTATTGATGTTCAGTTTTTCACCATATACTGCTCTACAAAGTCAAAAGACAGTAATTACTTCAAAACTGATTGAACCGATATCAGTTAACAAATGGTCAGTTACTGTGTTTTGCCTATGTGTTGTAGTATGGGTATAATTGGAAGTCTTGAATTATAACATTGAGTGACCATTTGATGATCACCATTTTTGTTACAGACTATCAAGGTGAATACTATGGCCCAGGATCAAACTACGACTACTTCCCTCAAGGTCCACCATCCTCCCAAGCCCAGACTCCATGTGATCTAGGATTCATGCCCTCCTCTGGCCCAGCTGGAACCCCTCTAGGGAGCATGGACCACCATCAAGGAGCACATCACCCCTCCAATGAGACACAATGCTTCAGCCAGATGATATCGCATCACCCAGGGGACTCCCCCAGCCCAGAGCCCAGCGCACCCACCTCCATCCACAGTATCTCCACTGACATGTGTGACTCCACTCCACCCTTCACATCCCTGAACTCTCTCAGTGGCAACGGATACAGCAATCAGCTGTCCTCAGAGATGAACGAGGGGACAGTTTGGTAGCAAACAACAGACTAATTCAGGATACAAAGATGTGGATATGTACTGTTCATGTGTGATTTTCTAGTGACAATATTTATATTTAGTTAATATATTGACATAATTGTCTATTTATTTGTTCATTTGTTTACCTATTTATTTAATGTATTTATCTATTTAAGCACCATTTGTGTATTTTGAAAGTGGAATGTCAAATATTGGTCTGCAGACCTTATAGCTGTGCTATAGACAGCGACAGTATAAGAAAAGCTGAAACAGAATGTTTACATTTACAACACCTGGTGTGTCTGTTCACATGTGTATCATAATCTGACGACTCAGACCTCTTTGCCTTTTAAGGCTTTGCCATAATGACACTTGAAATCATCTCACACCAAAATCTGTCTCTGCTCTCCATGTGGTGGAGTTACGACTCCATTACGAGTTCCACCAAATCTCAAAGCGTTTGCCTTTAAAAGGGAAACTTAAAACTGACAAACCCTTTATTTAAAATGAAATATGACTTGAATTATAAGACAAAGTCTACTTTCTAAAAATGATTTCATATAGCCTAGTCAGTGGACAGAGAGCAGTCAATTGTTTACATTTCTTCAGGGCTTTAAATATCAACAATGACTTTAAAAAAACCCTCTTGATACTGACACAAACCTTTTCTTCAAGCAAGAAACCAAACTTTTGTATTAATTCAATTTAGATTTGAGTTGTGATTCACTGTACAAGTTTGTATGATATTGTGTTTGCACAAAGAATACACTAAACAAAATCATAAAATTAAATACATGTTGACAAATGAAGCACAAATACTTAAATTGCATTTCTTGCACTAGTCTTGAAATTGACTTACATGCATTAGTCTCTGGATTAGGGTTATCTGATAATCCTACAGAGTGGAATTTTATCATCTGTAATAAATCTGAAAGAAAGAAAGAAAGAAAGCAAAAGAAAAACAAGGGAGGACATACAGGCATTCTTGCAAAACAAAAAATGGTAAAAGGGAGGTTTTTGTTGATTCTGTTTGATGACTTGATAATGTCAGCGTTACCAGGTCCTCAAAATGTAACAATACAACAATAATGATGTAAAAAAAGAAAAGACTATGTTCATAAAAACTACAAATTTCAGGTTCGATTTTTGACATTATAATATAGAGAAGACTTTATAAATTCTAGTTTACTATCTATCTATCTATCTCTTGATTTTATGTTATCTAGGATGCTCAGTATTTGTTGCAAAACAGTTAAGTCCTACTGCTTATTTTTTGTACATTATTTATATAATAGTAACAAAACCAGACCTTATCGAAAAAAAACATGTAGGCAGTAAAAACAATAGCCTACCTAAACAATTTAAATAAATGTAATTTAAGATGTTACATTTAATTCTATACCAAGTAACCTTACAACATATCTCTTCAACAAGTCTGTTTATATTAACATAAAGGTGATAAAAAGTTCATCTACTAAGAAAAACTTCTCTTCTCCAGAACCACCGTTTTGATCGCGCCATTTGCTATGTTTATCTAAGACATAACAATATCCAACTTAAGTTCATTTACATTTCGTCACGTTGTTAAAGCTTTTTAATGTGAAATCGACTGTGTTTTCTGAGCGTTTTAAACGACAACCGCTGCATCCGAAAACTTCCAAGGCAGGAAGGCATCAAGGCACGTCCGAACCCAAATTCTGCTTTAGGTACCTTCTTCTGATCGAATTTTGAAGGCAGCATAGATGTATCCTTCGCTGCCTTTGATATCCCACAATCCTGTGCGTTCCATTCCGTGACGGTTGAGCTAAAAAATAAAGATGGCGCCTGAAAGTTGCGTTTGGTGGTCAGTTTGTGTAAATGTATATTTCTGACTTAACTTTTGCACTTTTGATGGTATTTCTAGCGAGAAATCGGTATTATAGTAATTAAATATTCGTTTAGTTATCACAAAAACTCGTTATATTTTGTTGTAGATCATTAAACCGTTACGCTGCCTCAGAAGCCTGTCCAAAATCAGTTTCATGAGGTGCCTTCGTGCAAAAACGCTGCCTGCAAAGTCATGGCCTCGTACCGCAGCGAGGCAGCAAGCCAGCTGCCGAAGGAGTATATCCTCCTGAGAACCAGAAATAAAAAGCTTTGTGTATTTAGTATTTTTTCATGTCATTACATTGTTTAGAGCATAAGACTGAATGTGCTCTGTACAGGACATCCAGACGTACAACTGTGACATGTGAGGTCTCAGAGAAATTCACTAAAATATAATGTCCACTACAGAGGCAAAAACTCCATAGCTGGGTCTCAGGAGGATATGACGGTAATTAATGCCATTCCTTCAGAACTTAGGAAATTATTAGAAATTATATAGGCTAGTCGAAAAACCAAATTTAGATTTCAGTGTTAAACTGGAAGGTATAAATGTAAAAGAACAAAAATGTAATAATAATTATCTTAGAACGATTTGCCAAATTTCCAGTGTTCCTGTAGCCATTAGTTTTTGGAGATCACGATTTCAAGCTGTCAACTGGAAAGAAACCTTTAAGATCTCCAGACATTTTTGTATCATAAATAAAATTAGAGAAGTATCATACAAGATTGTTCATCGTATTTATCCTGTAAAACAGGTAATTGCAAAGTTTTGTAAATGCATTGACTTGAAGTGTGCTTTCTGTAAAGAGGAAAATTAGAGTATTGTTCATTTATTTTATGATCGTATTTATACAAAATTATGTTGGTGTGATTTTTTGTTAAAGTATTAATATTGAATTGCAACTCAAAGAAAAGGATGTTTTATTTTTTTATGAGTATACTGTAGACTTCAAAATTTGGTATATTGTGAATTTACTCATTATATATGGAAAATGCTTTATTCACGAATGTAAATGGGCAGTGAAAAAAACGAATTTTACTTCAAAATAGAAATACCTGTATACGTTAAAAGAAACAAGAAATAACAAGGCAAAAAAACCTGTAAATTACTTTAAAGCCTTACATTTATTCTTTGAATAATTTGTAATAATTTGTTTGTAATAATTGATTTTTTTTAATTTCTTTTCTTATTTAATTTTTATTGATTTATTTTAAGTATTTGTTTTCATTCAGTTTAAATGTTATCGCCCTTATATGTTCTTTGTTCTAAAAACTGCAATAATAATAATTAAAAAAAAAATCATCTGCTTAAGTTTTCGGATGCAGCCGTGTGTATACACACTCGCTTCACGCTTCCTGCATTTACATTGTTCAATAAAGTAAGAAAAGAAAAGAGAAAAGCTTCACGCTTCCTGCGGCGCTCTCTGATGACGTCCCGGTAAAGTTACAGCGTTGGCCAGACATGGCAGCTTCCATATCACAGCAGCTCGAGGATTTGTTAAATCCTTTACCAAACTTTGTGGATCCAGAGGACGACCAAGATGAAGGTATTATACATTAAAATCATATCAGTTTATCTAATGTGTTGCAAACCATTTTAGCGTTATTATAATAGAAAATCTGTCACCTCTAACGTAAGCACGATATGTCGGCATGCCCGTCTGTACTGAGACGCAGCTTTACTTTATACTTATTATATAAGACCAGTAACTCATGACATTTAATATAAGCTAGTAATACTTACGATTGCCATAATAATAACAAGGATACATGTTCTTTTGTTTTCACACAATAGGCTATTTTCTGTTAGAATTAGTTACTTAACGTTACCTTATTTTAAGCTTTCTCTAAAAGAATGTACCGTGTCTATCAATGGTACATAAATGTGCATTTTGTGTGCTGTGGTAGTACCGTGTTATTCTTGTAAATAATATGTATTCAGTTACATGGTATTAGCATATGATACCGTAACTGTACCATGAAACTAATACACACACACACACACACACACACACACACGTTTGTTGTTGTGAAAAGTGGGGACTCTCCATAGGCGTAATGGTTTTTATACTGTACAGACTGTATTTTCTATTGCCCTACACCAACCCTACCCCTAAACCTCCCCCTCACAGGAAACTTTGTGCTATTTCAGATTTTCAATACACTCCATTCTGTGTGATTTATAAGCGTTTTGAAAAGTGGGGACATTGGGGTAATGTCCTGAAAAGTCACCTTCTCCTTGTAATACCCATGTCATACCCTTGTCATAATACAAATTTATGTCCTCATTTGTCACAAAAACGCGCACACACACATTACGTTTTATATTGCTTAATACTGCATACAAACATTTATTTTAAATGATTTCCAGGTCATTTTTGGCTTATTTAAAGGGCATTTCCCCCTAAACGTATTAAATGCATGCATCATCTTTCATATCAATTTCTTACATTTTATTAATAATTTTGGACTGTTACCAATCAAATTAAATCAGTATCTACAAAACCGATCTTTCCACTGCAGAAGAAACAAAAGTGACCGGAGTGGCAATCAGATGCATTTACACAGACAGTTCAATGTAGCTGAAATATAGCACGAATGCATTTACACTGCAGAATTATAACCGCATAAATAATGTTGTGAACATGGTGTTTTAAAATAGTTTTTTAAAATAAATATATATACAGATATGAAATGTTGGAAAAAATGCAAAGATAAGCTACTATGAAAGTAAACCGCCAGTAGGTGGCAGCAAGTGACTGTCTTAATTAATGAGTCATTGAAGCATCTTTTCAACCATTCGTTCAGACGGCTGATTCATTCAAGAAAGAAGCAAGTGCCTCCCTGCGTCCCAATGTGCATACTATCCACCCTCTGCCCTAAATAGTATTGAAAATTACTATTATCACATTGAATTTAGGATTTTCATTAAATCCCAAAAATAATAATAGAGCTATCCGTACACTTTTCCAAAGAGAAATTGTTACTGTACCTTATGTTTTGTCTCATTGGGTCTCTTTATTAAATGGAAAATTGATTTGCTGGAGAAAAGTGTGTTTGTTACCACAGAAATATCATCTTAGAAATAAGATTAAAGAAGTTTCTTATAAGCTTATTCATAGAATTTATCCAGCAAATCATTATTTACAAAT